TCGATGAGCTGAGGGTCTTGAAAGAAAGAGAAAAACGGTGACAAGAGGAATTCCTTTTGCGTTGCACGCTTTCTTGTATTTCTCACTGTACTTGTACTTGTACTTTTTACTTTGTAACAATCATGTAAATTGGAAAAGAACTTATGGGAAAAATCCACTAAAAAGCAGAATGAGCAGCACATCTCAAAAGTGCTCACTTATTCTAAATTTTATAGTATGAAACTGGGATGTGACGACCGGGTGAAACGCCCGTTTACACATAAGTAGAGGGGGGGGGGGGGGATTACTCGTTTATAAATTAGTCAGAAAAGAAGACGAAAGACTTCATGCATGGCTGATCGTCAACAAAACGGAATTAAGTATTTTGTCAACTCTTTTGTTGCTGCGGCAGGCAGCCAGTGAAAACGAATTTTGTTTAATCAAATTATGAAAATGCAAGCATTAGGCCCTACTTGAAACAAACAGAACTTTGTTATTCCTGGCTCATTTCTCCTGATTGAGGTGTCATATGAAAAGGAAGAAAATGTAATATCTAGAAATATGATTTTCTCTTTGAAATACATTCAAATATTGTTCGCCAAATGACCTTTTGGTACCCTCTCTTCAAATTGTTTTCAATCACTCATGTGTTAAATATGCATCATAATGAGTTGCATCAAATGAAAGAAGAGGATCTAAGTATGTGTTTTTTATTAATTATAATTGTGATTAAGTTTTGATAATGCATCGATAATTCTCGGTTTCGTTTTTCTTGGACGCACTGTATATCACCTCCTTTTGGAATACCCATGTTTGTGGTAATTGACTTTAATATAATATTCCGCTTTTATAATGTCTCAAAGCGCTTTGCAGATATACTATCTTCCATGGTAAATCTAATCAAGATTATGGTCAGATTTGTTAATTATTTTTTCTCCTTATAGTATTTGGTAAAGTTTTTCTTTGGTAACTTCATTCATGTTATTGAAATAATTCGGCAGCCATTTTGAATCTATAAAGGGCCGCCATTTGTAAGAAATATAACAATTCTTAAAACTCAAGTATTGTGTAACTATATGCAGGGGCGGTGATTTACTTTCATGACCGGGGGCACGAAATGCTAGGGACGGGGAGCAGTGTAGTAATAAGCAAAAAGGTGTTTTTTTTTGGGGGGGGGGGAGAAAAAAAATCTGCATCACACCAACTTTTACATGGTACATGCAGGCCCCGCGGAACGTTTTTCAAAGGGGGGGGGGGGGCTAAAATGTTTTCGGTCAGGTACAGCAAAGCGAGCGAAGTAAGTGGAGCGTAAAGTGGCTTAAGGTCAAGGGACAAAGCCCCGGCGGGGGTCATGGGGCGGGGTTTTAGGCATTTAATAACGGATAGATGAGCATCCGTGGCCGCCTTAGGGTCCCTGTTGGGGTCCAGGGGCGGAGCCCCCGGAAGCTCAGGGTTTTTAGGCATATAATTACCGTCAGATAAGCAACCAGGGGCTCGCCTCAGGGCCCCTGGTGGGGTCCAGGGGGTGGACCCCGGAAGGTCAGAGTTTTTTAGGCATTTAATTACGGTCAGATGAGCAACCAGGGGCAGAGCCTCCGGAAGTTCAGGGAAAAACCATGCCATTTCAGCTACATTTGTAAATCACTGGTATCGAATAAAACCACGTTTGAATTTTATTCGGGGGACAACTGCCCCCAAGCTTCCCCCCATATCATTACGCCAGTGCGAGGGAGCACAGTGAACGAGAGGGGTGACGGTGACGGAAGTGACTATCCCCTCACAGGTTTTTGAAGCTTAGTTGTATTAACAAATTACATTCCTTAGCAAAACTGTAGTATAAAAACAAGCGATATACATTTTTCATACTTCACTTTTCTACAATATTTACTGGTAAACTCTGAAGGAGTTTATACGAGGGAGCGTAGCTACCGAGCGAGAAGATTTTTGCATTTTTATTTGTCTAAACACTGCACTCTTGGGCCTTCCAGAGCCTTAAAGTTTGTTGCAGTCTTTAGTCAGTATTTGCTATACTTTTGTTTTTTGCACTTTTTCAAATTTTCAGGGGGGGGGGGGGAAGATCCTCCCTAAGAAAATTGGATCACCGCCCCTGAATATATGAGGTACCTGAATCAAGTATTTTGAATTTATGACATCTTTGTCCCTTATGTCGTGGAATTGTCCATATGTATTAATATCAATCACATATTCAACTTAAATATGCTTCTAATTTGGATTAAATTTAAAAACTAAAACAATCTCAATTAAAACATGCACACTCAAAAAGATAAAAGTAGCAATTTCTATATCTCTTTAAACCCCTTCTTCCCCCGCTTAGCCCCTAACCAACAAGGCTTCATCGCTATGCCCATCCCATTCTCATCATCCAAAAACAATCCTATCCACTGTTCCTAAGTAATGAAACTCCTTCAAACCATAGGTAATAAACTCATTGATATCCCCGTAACCCCCACCCCTCCACTAGTGGCGGATTCAGCCAGCGGCGAGCAGGGGCGAAGGGGGCTCCATTCGTGAGAAAATATTTTGCGACGGATCAGCCGGCCGGGAATAAGCGGGGGTGGGGGTTAAGAGCACAACAATTTTTTTGTTTTCATGAGAAAATATTTTGCGGCGAATAAGCGGGGGGGGGGCGGAAGGGGGAAGCACTTAATTTTTTGCTTTTGAAGGTAAAATTGTGGTTACCATCTCCCCCTTTTTTGGCCAGGGGTGGGGGCCTGCCTTTTTTTAACATTTGCCCTTCACTAAGCCCGCAACCATCGCGGCTACATGACAATACCCAACTCTCATCAACCTCTAATAATCCTGCCCTCTATTCATAATGAAGAAATTAACCCCCTCAAAAAAGTAGCTTATATACAGTGATTGTTTCCCTTAACCCCCCCTTTCCCCCTCTCCACTAAACCAAACCATCACGTCTAAATCACTATGCCCGCCCCCTTTTCATCTACCTCAAACAACCCTACCCACTGTTCATAATTAATAAAACCCCTTAAAACGAAGTAGGTATTAATATACACTCCTTTATATCTCATTATATGCTCCTCCCCGGCACTCCCTTCCCCTGCCCCTCCACCTCCTTTATATCCCACTATTTCTTTATATCCACGCCTTCCCATAACGCCCCTCCCCGGCACCCCATCCCATTATCCCATTATATCCCACTCCCTTAAATTATATCCCATTAACGCCCCTCCCCGGCGCCACCCCCCGCTCGCCCCTGACCAACCAGGCTACCTTCTCATCACCCTCAAACAATCCTGCCCACTGTTCATAATTAATATTTTAAAAAGTCTTGAAACGAAGTAGGTATTATAAACCCCTTTCATAATCCCATTAACGCCCCTCTCCGCCCCCCCCCTCACGCTAGCCCCTGACCAACCAGGCTATGCCCACCCCTTCTCATCACCTTCAAACAATTATTCCTACCCACTGTTCATAATGAATAAAAACCCTTTAAACGAAGTAGGTATTATATATATATATATATATATATATATATATATATATATATAAACCCCTTTCATATCACATTAATTAGCGCCCCTCCCACCACCCCACTCCCTCCGCCCATCCCGATAACCCCTATAACCATCCTGGTCAAACTACTTATCTATTATCCTCTCATATTTATAGAAATATAATATAAATCTGAGAGGATAATAGACATTATGTTGTATCCTTCAAGCACACAGCATATACATATTCTCCGGTGTTAATATCGTTTTCAGAAAACGAGCTTATCAATCAATAGTACCATCGATCTGCATGATTCATCTATTAATGCACCACTATTATGCTTAGACTACCCATGACATATAAACAGAAAAGAATAATCATGAACTATATACAAGACCAGAAATATAGAATAAAAAACATGATCTTGAAATACATATACAATTATGGGATAATTATGAGCAGGTTTATTCTATTGAAACTAGCAAATAATAATGTTCAGACAATCCCTTATGCCTGGCAAATGCAAACTCTTCAGTGTTTCCAACTTCCAATCTGAGCTCTAAAGCAAACATGCCTCCTTCCACTAATCCCCCTCTAGAGTGTAATAGCTCAACAACACAGAATGAACGAGAATACTAGGGGAAGGAGGGGAGAGAGAGAGAGAGAGGGAGATAGGGAGAGAGAGTGTGTGTATGTTCCCCTACCAAGAGGGAGGGTTGACCTCTGTACAGAGTGACCCAAGAGAGATAAGGGAGAGATGGAAGAGCTAGGGGAGAGATCTACTACACATAGCATACCGTGCATGTATTATACTCTGTTGTTTCAACGCTATGTATCTACACTGGACCATAGGCCTACACAAACACAACGGCACTGTTGCATAATATATATATTCACCTAATTTGCAATTAAGAGAAAGTTCTGAAAGATAGATTGTAAATCAGGTAACTAACTATACCATATTAGATTTCCCTTTTCCCTCCCTCTTTTCATCACCCTCAAACACAGGGAACACTCGGGCCTGTGCCACGAATATAACGAGAAATATGATTGGCCATTCCAACATCTGTGTTTAAAGTTACACAACCACGCGTACGTTATGACAAAACCATGCGTACGTTATGACATAACCATACGTACGTTATGACAGAACCACGCGTACGTTATGACGGAACCACGCGTACGTTATGACTATATTATGCACACTTAATAACAATACCACGCGTGCGTAATGACAGAACCACGCGTATGACATGACAGAACCACGCGTATGACATGACAGAACCACGCGTACGCTATGTCAAAACCATGCGTACGTTAAGAATTACATAGAAGTATAATGGAAAATGACCATGCGTACGTTCTGTCAGAACCACGCGTACGTTATGATGGACCCACGCGTACGTTATGTCGGAACCACGCGTACGCTCTGACATGCACGCGTACGGTCTAGGCACACGTAATGAAGGCGTTGGCCAACCATAAGAGCTAGCATAGTTAGTAGGCTGCATGCTATGAGCCAAAGCTATGAGCAGCTTCGACTTGTGTTATGTCACGCGCGTAATACTACTCGTATCTTTGCAGCTCATCATGAATATTCATGATGCGTATACCTCTGAACCAATCGGGAGGCAGGATTTTACCCTCATAGGTAAACCTGTTTGAGAAGAAAAAAATTCGCGACCGGGCTACTCCTTTCGTATAAAATACAATTTTGTCTCACCAGCGATTCATTAAAGACACTGACAGGCTCGCATCAAAAGGCCCATATGTCCCGTATATATGGGTTTTCAGCGATCGAATAGCATCATGTCTGATCACGGGGAACAAGGATGGACAAGTACTATAAAGGTGAGAATTAAAGGTTTTCTGATTGTTTTAAATAGTTAAACAACTTGGGAAAGAGTATGTATCAGACGTAATGCCCATTTTGCGTGCATATACTGCCTTTATAAAGTGAGTTTGTTCATTGTTCGATTATATATTAAAACAGCCATGATACGCAAAGCTTCTTGTAAGGAGGTTCATTATTTACTGTGTTTTTGCATATTTTCGAATTCAATACTTTCCTATAATGTCTTATGTCGGATTTACCATTCTTTACTATAGTCCTGATAAAGTCTTTTCATTCATGGCGAAGTTTAATTCCTCTGGTGTGATGTGACGTAATTTAATCATTTTCGTCGGCCTTATGCCAAAATGGCCTTTAAAGTTTTGGCCTCTCTAATAATCAAAAGTTTGTGGTCATTTTTTGTTGTTTTTGAAGTCAATTTCGATAAATATGTTATTAACATATTTGTAAACAAATTTAACACATTTCATGTAAAACTTAATAACTAATAGTTATTAAGTTTTACATGAAATGTGTTAAATTTGTTTACAAATATTCAGAAGTTTTCATGCTATGTGCAAAAAACATGTTACTTTTTGGGGGGCATATGGCTTGAATGTAGCGTATTTATGCCAGAAGGGCCACCTACACGGCATTACTTGCCAAAAGGGCCTTAACCTGCCGTTATCATACGCGTGCGAAGTGAGCGCCCTTCTGGCATAAAGACATTTTCTTGTTTCGCGACCCCTTTGGTTTGCCAGAATTAAAGCCCCTGCTACGGCTACTGGGTAACGAAAATTGATAAAAGTGATTAACTAATTGTTATTAATATAATGCAGCTTTCGGTGAAGTAAGTTTTTAGAGATCGTACATTTACTTATTTAATTAGGACACCTTTTTCGTTGCTTTTTTCATTGCAGTCCCATACGTGGACATCTGCGTATTTCATGAGTCAGTCGCATTTCATGCATCCACATTTGACTTAATTAGATCTTACTCAGAATTCATGAGCTAAATTCATGATAATATATATATATATTATATACGTTCAGTAAATATTCTTAGTACATTGTGTCTATTGTAGACTAATCGTGTTTAAAACCAGTTTTATCAGTTTCCGTGATCCAGTAGCCGTAGGAGGGCCTTTCTGGCAAACCAAAGGTGTTGCGAAACAAGAAAATTTCCTTATGCCAAAAGGGCGCTAACTATGCGCGCGTACGATAACGGCAGGTTAAGGCCCTTTTGGCATAACGCCGCGTAGGTTACGCCCCTTTTGGCACAATGCCGAGTAGGTTACGGCCCTTCTGGCATAAATACGCCGCATTCAAGCCTTATGCCAAAAAGGCCCTAACATGTTTTTTGCACATAGCATGTACAATTCTGAATATTTTATAACACATTTAACACATTTCATGTAAAACTTAAAAACTTAACATATTATCGAAATTGGCTTCAAAAACAACAAAAAACGACCACAAACTTTTGATTATTAGAGAGGCCAAAACCTTTAAACGCGATTATCTCGGAATGGCCAAAAGCAGTTAAGGCCCTTTTGACATAAGGCCGACGTATATAGGCAATGGCGAGCTAGCGACCTATTTTGACAGTGAACTTTCAAAAGTCAATGGGACATGAGGGTTCCAATGAAAGAGCTAGTGTCAACGTACGTCGGTGGATGTGCTTTTCGTTTAAAAAAAAAAAAAAAAAAAAAAAAAAAAAAAAATTAACGATTTTTTAGGTAAAAGTCAGTAGGCGAACATGTTAGGCTGCTGACTCTGACGATAGGGGGCGTTGTCAAATGAGACTAAACGGAGCTATATGATACTCATTAGGTAAACCCCTTCTTTAAAACAATAAATTAAGCTTGCATAATAATGACATGCACTCACTGCACTTGGTTTTTAATAAGACGAACATTATTAATAGAAACAAAATACGTAACAATATGATACAGCGAAAAAAAGAAGAAGAAAGTAGATAGATTGGAAGAGAGAGAGAGACAGAGAGAGACAGAGACAGAGAGAGAGAAAGAGAGAGATAGAGAGAGACAGACAGAGAGAGCGAAAAATATCATTGCACTTGAAAGAAGGTATAACGAGATGTTGGGAGAACAAGAGTAAGGAACGGACAATTGAAGACATGGGGCGAGGAGATTAAGGAAGAGGGGAAAGGGAAGAGAGAGAGAGAGAGAGACTGAGAGAGAAAATTAATTTTAATTTCGATTCAATTAAAAAGAGTTTATTTCCACTAAAAAAACGAACAAATAATACATGTGATATAGTACAGACAGTTAAAAATATACAAATCATGAGCATTGCATGTATGTGAAGTTAATTTAAACAAACTGAAAATGAAAAAGGAAAAAAGGGGCACCTGGAGAAAGCTTTTTTTTAGCTTGTTGATTCAGGCGTCCAAATAAATAAAATAGTTACACAGATATAACACATAACATAACATAATAACAGAGTATTGCGCATGGATTCATCTGCCCCTCCCTCCTCACCACTCCCCTCCACTTCACTTTCTCTCTCTCTCTCTCTCTCTTGTGGTAATTTACAAAATTATATTTTATTTAAAAATAGGTATTGAAATAAAAACAAATTAAAGGGATAATAGATATATTTTAAGATTTTGCTTGAATGAGTTCAAGTAAACATATTGTGTGACAGAAGATGGAAGAGAATTCCATACTGTAGGCCCTGTATATCCTACCGATTGTTGCATGTACTGTTCATCAATATTCCAGATGTGTAACTTTAGACTATTTCGAGTATTATATTCATGAATTTTAGAGTTAGTTTGGAACAGTGGCGTACGCAGGATTTTTTCAAGGGGGGGGGGGGGTAGCATTTTGAAATCGGGCCGAAAATTTCGCAACGACTCAGCCAGCCGCTGAATAAGCGGGGGGGGGGGGGGGGTAAGAGGACACTTTTTTTTTTTTGGTCTCGAAATTTGAAAATTTGACATTTTTCTTCGTGGGGGGGGGGGGAGGTCATTATAGGTCATATTTTTTTATAATTTTTTTAATAATTATTTTAAAAAATCCAAAGGGGGGGGGAGGGGTTTTTTAAATATTTTTTTAGGGGGGTTTACACACGTAAAAATACTAAAGGGGGGGTTCAACCCCCATACCCCCCCCCCCCCCCCCCTGCGTACGCGCCTGGTTTGGAACACAGTGGCAAGAGATGACGGTGCATTACCTTTGATACATTTGAATACAAACACAGCATTTTGATATTTATCTAGGCTATAAATATTGAGGGCATTTAATTGCCTAAATGAATGTTTAAAATTGGCCGAAGAATTAGAGTTTGTACAATATCGTAGACGACGCTTCTGAAGTAAAAATAAGGGTTTCAACCCGGTTTCAACTTAGAAGGACTTGTATTTTCCCACACGATGTTACCATATGACAAATATGAAAGAATGAGTGAATTATAAATCATAAACAATACATTATCTGGTAAATAATACTTCCGCTTTTCAATAACCATGTAGTGCTACTAATCTTTGCAGAGATCATGGCAATATGGGATTTCCGTGACAGTTTTTCATCTATGAGAATACCTGAAAATTGAATATTTGAGACTTTTTCAATAATTGTTTGATCAATATATAATGGTGGAATTTGATTTGTTATTTCTCATTTGTTACACTGAGCTGTTCTTAAAAGTATACATTTGGTTTTGTCTAAATTAAGCGATAGTTGATTTGCCTTTAACCACAGAGATACATTCGTGTTCATTAAACTGGTCTATCAGTGAGTATAAATTATTATGGCTTAAGAACAAAGAAGTGTCATCAGCAAACTGTACACATTTTAAGGAATGAGAAGAGTTGCATATGTCATTTATATATAAAAGGAAAAAATGGGCCCTAAATTTGACCCTTGTGGAATTCCACATTTAATCAGTAATTTGGTAGAACTGTATCCATTATAATTGGTACCTTTGTGAAAATAACTCTTAATACAATTCAACGCAAACCTCTAACATCATAATTAATTAATTTCTTAAACAGAATAGAAAAATCAACGGTATCAAACGCCTTACTCAGGTCTATAAAGACACCAAATATAAATTGTTTTGAATTCAAGGCATTAACAATGAGTATCATGAACAGATATTAAAGCATGGTCAGTAGAAAAATGGGTTCAAAATCCAAATTGATTATCATGTCATAATGTGTTTAGATACAAATTTGTATGTTCTATCATAGCCTAATCTCTCCTTGATTTTTGAGAAGCATGATAAAAATGGTATAGGACGATAATTACCAAGTGTGCTTATCCCCCTTTTTAAAGATTGGGATTTAGTGTTGGATACTTTTAGTTTTAAAGGTACTATTCCCATTTAAGGAAAGAGAGAAAGAGAAAGAGAAAGAGAGGGAGAGAGAAAGAAAGAGAGACGAAAGACGCTGTTTAATTTCATATTGTTATGAGTAGGTTTACGTATAATTCATTTTTTCAACGTTTCAACGTTTGCTTTTTCTTTCAGCAGACTCACCCTTGGACAACCAATTTCCTCATCGTGAAGATGATTGTTTTCTGCAACAGGTAACCTCCTAATTTTTGTTTAATACACATATTCTAAAAAGGCCTTGACTACAAATGAAAATAAGAATATAAACAAACATCCTTATGAATTATTGTTGACGTTATTTGCCGAAGTAGTGAGGGTGTGTGTGGGGAGGGGGTACACTTCTTATGTTCTTATATTCGTTTTAAAAGTACTCTTTAGCCACGTTTCATTTCACGTCATTGGGGGGCCGGGGGGACGCACTGTATATATAGCTGAAACATGAGCCGTACGTCTAAGTAATGCACTGTGAATATGCGTACTCCATAGCATGATGTCAACAAGTCGATAACTAGTTTTTAGGTCGGCAGCCTTCGATTTGCATTACTTTAGATTTCGCATTTTCAGAGAACTGTTACTCCTCTGACAGGTAGTAAAATCCCATACAATTGATGTTATTGTCGTCTATGGCTCATTAGTTTCCGTTGATATATAATTCATCCATTTCATTTTCTAATTGGATAATGGGCCAACTGAATAATAACGGGATAATAACGGCACAATTTGGAAGCAATAATCATTCAGGCTTATCATAACATACATGTACTTATAATGAGGGCTTCTATTTATAAACTCCCTTTTACACGGCGCATGGTTTTATCTCGTTACGTACAGGACCGTTCTACAGGTTGCCTCCACATTATGACATTTATGTATATATATATATATATATATATATATATATACGTACCATCTGGAACCTGCTATCTTTTGTTTACCCCCATGTGTTAATGTTCTAAAATTAATTTTAAATTACTAAATTAGTAGTTGGATCAGAAGTTGATGTTTAACAAATAACGTCGCAGATCACTTACAGTCATGTACATGCCACCCAGGCGCGTACGCAGGATTTTTTCGAAGGGGGGGGGGGGGGGAGGACATATTTATTATTTTTTTGTCCCGAAATTTGATAGACAGTTTCGTGAATGATAACACATCAAAAGGACTCTGTAGTAATCGATTGGTGTTAGAGGTTAGCGGTGTCGTGGTCAAGTGGATACGTCACTCGACTGTAAATCCAACGTTTTTGGTTCGGGTCCTACTGCGGCACTGATGTTCTTTAGTAGAAAATGTTTCTACATTTGCCAGCCTCCACCTAGGTGAATTAAATGGGTACCCGTAGGGAGAAATTACTTGAATGCTTTAGCCCCTGTGGGTACGGGTGAATACCAGTAATACTTTAGAAATCATGATTTTTCCTATTTTCCCCGATCCATTTCTCTCTCTCTCTCTCTCTCTCCCCTCCCCTCCCTCCTCTCCCACCCTCCCCTCTGTCCCCCCCTCTCTCTCTATCTCTTTCATACTCTCTATTCCCCCCTCCCTCGTTCTCTCTTTCTTTCTCCCGCTCTCCGTACCTCTACCTCTTCCTTTCTCTCCACTCCCACTCTCTCTTTCTGTCTCTACCTCTCCCTCCACTCCCTCCTCTTCCCTCTCTACCTTTCTTTTCCACTCTCTCTATCTCTCTATTCTTCCCTCTTCACCTTTATCCCTTTCTTTCTCTCCCTCTCCCTCCCTCCCTTTCCAATTTCGCTATATTTCTCTCCCCCTCCCTTTCCCTTTCTATCTCTCTCTGTCTCTTTCTCTCTGTCTCTCTGTCTGTCCCTCCCGCTCCTTGTCTTTCCTTCTATATTCACCCTTTTCACTGTAAGTTATCGCCTTCATCTGTAGACGTCAATTCTGCTCAAACGGATGTATAAATATAGATTTATAAGGCGCATGTTGCTATGTTGGGCAAGCACACATCAAATAATGTGCAAATGTGTCCAGCGTGGCCAATCTATAAAAATACTTTGCGTTCCTGAAAAATCGAAACCAAAAATCATATGGTTATTGCAACAAATTATGAGCTGTGTTAATAAGATGTTATACTTTTCACAAAGTAGCAGTAAAATGCTTTTATATAGTACATTGATCACATTAATCCATAAACGCTTTACGTACCAACATTGTAATCGATAGACCACGTCAACATCCATTTGTGCCAGATTTTAGATCATACGTGAACATGACCTAAGGGAAACAAATTGTCTTGTGCAAAATGAATGCCATCATCCTGTAGTAAATGAACAATGTTATCGATGATGAGGGTATTAAAGAAGGAAATGTTTTTGTGAATTTTTATGAACAGTGATTTTCGTTATGGTCGTTATTCTCCCACTTAAAGGCATTTTCAAGCCCTTTCAGTTGGAGGGAAGTTCTAAATTAGTATTATATTTTAAATGCCGTTGGAATTTAACCTTTTCATATTTTTGGCCTGCAAATGGAACATAGTACCTTTAATAGACGTGGTAGAATAATGTGTAGTGTAATTATAATTTTAATTTATAAATGTCTATGCGATTTACAAAGTAGTGGCTGAAGAGGAGGACATTTACATTGTTTCTGACATGACCTTTTTCTTTATCTTTGTCTTAGCTATCTACAAGGTAGTGTCTAAAACGAATTAAATTTACATGGGTCATGAAGAAAAAACAGATTTAATGGGCAAGTTATAGGTCAATCTGTTAAGCGGTTGATTTCTCGAATTCTATACGTTTATAACAAAGTTTAGATGTGGTTATTGAAACCTCTGATTTAGTATTCCTGTGTTTCGTTTGAATTATATGTATGCCTAGTCAATACATAGGCTAGTTTAAATGTATCAGAGAAGTATCGTGGAAAAAAAAATACAATATGGAAAGAACATTTGTACTCATACAAAGCATTACTGTGATAAAATCATTCCTTGAGTTTGAAGGGTGCGCCACCAAGTAGGCGCCATTAACCGCGTAGTTTCGTTCCCTGTCGGTAAAAGTCCTTGACTTGTTGCGACTACAAGATGGAGATTTCTTAATATTTTAACACATCTCTAGAACTTGTCATTACTTTCGCAGTAGGATAATAGCTTTATAAGGATTATAATCATACATGCCAGTCTCTCTTCACCCCAGGCACCTTGTAAATTACATAGATCAGTCATAGATTATACCATTTTCTGTTCATGTAGGATCTGTGGAATTGCCTGTGATGGAGGAAGGACGCCCTCGAGCATGGGGGCTATACTAAAGCTAGTTGCAGCCATCGCTGTGGTAGTGATTGGTGTTCAAACAGTCAGAGTATCAGGTAAGATCACAAACCCGATTTTCCTCCTACTTACTGCTAAGCCACAGTTGGCGAGGCTGTGCATGCGAATTCATGGATCACGCCATCTTTAGCGTGCAGCAGGTAGGCGATTGAGATCGCAATATAACATTGTAAAATACGGCCAAATTTGTTGACGGGGGCGGATGGGGGGGGGGGGGTTAGTCTACGCACCTTACATTTAAAAGAATGCCAGATTCCTACACTTACCAAGTTTTTGAATTTTTCAAGTAATTTATGTGATATTGATTTGTCCCAATTTATTTGAAGATGTGACACATCATAGCTTACATCTGAAAGTATTCAAAAAATGGTCCTAATTATAGCCAGTTCTTGCGTAACGAAAACAAAATATTAAAAAACAATCAAATTTACAAGGAGTATAAATAATTGATTTGTTAACAGTACAGTATCTAATTGCTGTAAAATGCTGTTTAAAGTTGCCAACAATTTCAGTTTCAGTTTCAGTTTATTGTTTCATATTTCACATGTATTACATATTTTGCCATGATTTTGTACAAAGTCAGTGGTCAAATTAAATGTGGATTATATTAACATAGACAAAAACAGAAAGTGGGTACCTCATTTGTTCGAAAGCACATTAAAAGACTGAACAAAGAAGAAGAGTGAAATATGGAGGGGTCTATGGTGAAAGCTATACTCCTGATTATAGGCCCCGAAGAATAGTTAATTTATATTAGTCTTTAAAAATAGAGGGAACGAGCAATTACTGTTAACCGTAGTCAGGGACGGCGATTGACATTGGGGACGGGGTGGACACGTCCCCCCTCATTTTTTTAAAGATAATAATCTCATTATTGAAACAGTGTAAAGGCTATATAGTCTCAAACAAACCTACACCATTAAACTTAGTGCAACCGCCATTATGCCAGGCACCAAATTTAGTAATCTACTTTTGTGTTTCTAAAGACCGAGGTTTCCCATGTTTATTTACGGAAATGAACATTCAATACTGGTAAGTTGTTCGATAACATCACTCAGTCTGATTTGATCCGAGATATATCTCATTAATGAATCAGTGTTAAAGCTATAGTCTCAAACAAACCTACACCAGCAAACTTAGTTCCACCGCCTTGGTAACATTGTTCAGATGAGAGAAAACGGTACAAAGGTAGTGACTTCAATGATAGATGTACAATTAAAAATAATCTGAAAGTTTAAAAAACAGACCATTATTAATGATACAAATTGGGAAAAATGATCTGATCGATTTCTTAAATCTCCCAACTGTATTATTACAATTTAATACATTTTAGGTGAATGAAAATTGTCACAAAGCAATGCATTTGCTCTATATACCATTCCAGACATTTAAAGTGTTGAAAGATTTTTAAAAGCCTGTTATATGTCTTATTTTCATGGAAAAACGGTTGGAAAAATTCAAAAATGGTTGGGAGAATTTGCTTTTAGAGGTTGTCGCACAGTGGATTTTTCTTGTTTTGTTTGCATGTTAGAGAGTTAGTACAGTAGAAAGAATATAATAAGTAACATTTGATACAAAAATTACGCAGTTTTTTCATCAACCTTCATCAATGTTACCGAGTCACTTTAAGCCAGATTGATATTGTTAATTTGTTCGATAACATCATTCAGTTTGATTTGATTGGAGATACTTATCTCATTAATGAAACAGTGTAAAGGCTACATAGTCTCAAACAAACCTAGTCCTACACCTTTAAACATCAAGGTCACTCACACATAATATTGCGACAATATCAAGGATACTTATTATTTCAAGTTCATGTATATACAAACAGCAACAGTTTTAATATAACATGTAACTTTTTCTCACTTAAATCATTGGTCTGGAAACAATTATTTGCCAACTTTGTATATTTTCACTTAAAATGGAATTTACATTGTAATGCAATTATCAGGTTTCCCAGGTTTTTTAAAGGAAAATAGAAGATTGATCTTGTTAAGTTGTTCGATAACATCATTCAGTTTGATTTGATTGGAGATATATCTCATTAATGAAACAGTGTAAAGGCTATATAGTCTCAAACAAACCTACACCATTGAACTTCAAGCGAAACAGTTCCGCTATGTGATTGTACGCATATTAAACATATTTGGGATAGGTTGGAACACTGGATATAATTATGCTGGAACCGGAAATAGAATAATATTTTCACTACAAGATAAATTATTTGGTTTAAGAGGTTTAAATATAGGATTTTCCGGCCAAATTCGCGAGTTTGTCATTTAAATTAATTTTTCTTGCGTTCAAATTCGACGGTTTTAGTGCTGTCAGATATATCTTGGGTTTATATTCCTTTTTCTATAGTTTTCAAATCTATGAAGTTTTCGTTAGAATCTATGTATGTTTCATTCAAATTAATGAATAATGTCCTTCTTTCGCTATTTGGTCATTCGATTTGGCGCAACACGATTTCTGACATCGCGAAGGTGTACTTTTAGCATTCGAATTCATTTGTAGCATTCAAATGAGCACTTTGTGCACTAAATTGATGGTCAATATACATTTCTCGTTTATTACACACTTTTTATAGTTCATTCTTTTTCTTTCAAGAATGTTTTTTCCATGTGTATTTCACCATATTTTATTTTCTTGCATTTATACACTTTATATACTTTTAGATTTATCTGATATTCATCATCCTTTAAGTTTGATTGTTAAGAAGAAAAAAAAACCCACTTATATCTACAGACTTGATGGTCTCAATATTTTTGTAAATTTTCATGTATGGAAGTTGTTTGTCTTGTGTTTCATCATAAATTTATCACAATTTTTATTATGGAGGAATGGTACAATATTGTGACTGGGGTAGGTATTTTTGTGTCCCCACTTTTCCGGGGTATATGAACATGTCCGTGCAGAAATGCCATATACCTTGATTTCGCCCCTTCTTTACCTAATGTCTGACTACACCCATATGCATTGTCCTCAAAATTAATAAATGGAATAACAGAAAAGACCCTAATGGCAAATCATGCATTTAATTGCATTTTTTAAAACTGTAAACGTGGGTTGTATTTCTTCCCCCTAACGTTCATAACTTGATTAAACATAATTCGAATACGAATGACAGGTGTTAATTTGAATGATAAAAACCATGCCTCGACAAGTTACGATTAATTTGAATGCTAGTTGAGCAGTTTCTAAATTAAATGACGGATCTATGAAACCCTTCGACCAAAATTCTAAATTGAATACCAAAACGGGAAAATTGAATGATAATTGGCATTGCAAAGCCGACCTGCGCTAACCTAAATGTAAAGTAAATGAATTCGAATGACAAACTCGCGAATTTCGCCGGGAAATCCTATAATTATGAATTGAATTGTATACAGATTGTGGTGCGACAGATGGTGTATACGTGCAAAGTAAAGAAAATATTGCCCGACTTTGATAACATTACAGTTTCGATTATAAATTATTTCAAAAATGAAAAGTATAATGCAGATTCGAACTGTAGAAATAATAAGTTCACAAGAAAATGGTTTCAATTCAGGAATTTGTTATATAAAAGGTTTTTTTTTCAGATTTTTTTTATTTTTTTTTATTTGTTTAGAATATCATTAGCAGTGGTCACAACAAAGTAGTTGTATATAGCCCAATAATCAAAGGATAATATGTCTCTTTATATTGTTTCTTCAATTTTTGTTGTTCATGAATATCAAATATCCATTATTGAAAATATGTATGTCTTCTGTTAACTCGACAGTTCAACAAATATTTGTATCTTGAGTAGTCAATTTTATTCATGTTATAAATATGAATTATCTTGAATATATGTTTGTTCATTTGTTGCAAACGAAAATCTATTAAATCCCTGTGGAGGGATAAAGTATGAAGACAAAAAATAACTTCAAGCTCACTCACACATGATATATTGTGACACTTTCGAGGCTACTTTTTATTATAAGTTCATGTATATACAAACGGCAACAGTTTTAATATAAAATGTAATTTCTTCTCACTTATTATCATTGGTCTGGAAAAAATTATTTGCCCATTGTTGTATATTGTATTCCATTTTTACTAACGATGAATTTACATTATAATGCAATTTTCAGGTTACCCAGGTTTATTTAGAAAAATAGAAGATTGATATTGTTAAGTTGTTCGATAACATCATTCAGTTTGATTTGATTGGAGATATATCTCATTAATGAAACAGTGTAATGGCTACATAGTCTCAATCAAACCTACACCATTAAACTTCAAGCTCATTAACACATGATATATTGCGACACTTTCAAGGCTACTTATTATGTCAAGTTCATGTATATACAAACGGCAACAGCTTCAATATTAAATGTCAGTTCTTCTCACTTAAATCATTGGTCTGGAAACAATTATTTGCCCATTGTTGTATATTATACATCATTTTTTCATAACGATGAATATATATTGAAAAGCAATTTTCAGGAAAACCATACTTGTCATTTGTTATATTTTCTATATGATACTAAAGCATATCGTTACGCTTAGGCCAATCAAAAACAATCATTTGGTTGTCCTCGACCGCCTGCTCCTCATTTTCGGACCGCTCGTTGTTGTTGTTTTTTAAATTTTAAATTCAATTTTTTTTTTTTTTTTTTTTTGGGGGGGGGGGGGGGAGCAATCTTGAACGCCAAACATAACATTTAATGCATTTTGCAAGGATCAAAATCCGTCCCGTTGCCAGTTTGGTCTTTTCAGTACGCAATTCTGTATTTATTAAACTTGCCATTTTTATTTTTCTATGTCAAAATGCCGTTCATTAAAATCAGGTTCTGAGCATTCTTTAACTCATTTTAAAGCCCATATGTACTAGTTTACAGGAGGGTTTAGACCACCCTGCCAGGTCACTGGACAGGTGGTTATCTCATCAAATCAGCTCTCAGTTAACATAAGATAAAGAGGATCATAGGGGAACAATGGTCACCGATTAGGCATTGTTTGCTATATAGAGGGCGCAAGTAGCTATAAGTAGTACAGTGGGGATTTAAAG